GAATAAACTGGGCATTATAATTGTATGCATCCGATATGATACATACCTTTAGTACAAGGAACCGTCTTGCATAGTGGGCTGAAAATAAAAGGAGATTCATGAATGTTTCACGGTCCAAAGTCACTAAGCTTCATTACCAAGCACTTTCTCCACAGTGTCAGCCTGTCAGGCAACACAGAGTAAAAATTATTAAACCTTCACAATTCTGGCTTACAAATCTCCTCCTAGTATTTACATTGCTTTTTATAATGAACTAGATGACTGCAATTAAAATGTGTCCTCCAGTGCACTGTCAAATGACTGAGAAAGATTCAAGATTTTAAATTTCCAAATAAGATATGACAAAAAGAAACAAGCATCTGACAAAATGGATATCAGCAAAGTATCCTGTTAACAGAGTGTAGGCAAGTTCAACCTTTAGCACTTCAGCCGCATTTGTGAAATTCCCCCTTAACAGAAGAAAAAAAGGTAAAGCTGTCCCTGTGCTTATCTAATTAATAAATATTAAGCCATGAAGGCCTATGGGGGAGTGCATGTATAGATCCACATTTTGACCTCAGCACTAGCCGGAGGTTAGTGGTCAGCTTCACTCCCCTACCACTTTAACCCCAGGGAAGGAGCCCCTGGTACCCACTGGATAGGAGGCTGGGTTGACCCCAGAGCAGGTCTGGATCTGGAGAACAGAAAATTCTTGGCCCCACCCGGACTCAAACTCCGACCCCTCCATCATCCAGCCTGTAGCCAGTCACTATACCGACTATGCTATTCCAGCTCATAGTTCTCCATTGATAGTTAACAGAAAATAATAGCTGTGAGTAAAAAAGCACTACACCCTATTACTCAATCATGTTAAGCCGACTTGATTCTTTTACGCAATAATGAAAATAGATCACAAACGTTATTATATACAGCATTTACATCTAAAGTATGGAAATATTTCACTCACATGGTAATTAAAAATTAACATACCCTTGCAAAAGAGTATATGACAGTTTTTCATGATATTCCTTGCTTATTCTTCATTTATTTAATGTCCCCAATCATACATATTCAAATGTAAGATTAGTTTTCTATAAATTTGAAAGAAAGTGATCATAACCTATTTGAAGATATCGCAATGTTCACCTGCAGGAGATAAGGGCATCCAACATTAAACTCAGTGAGGCTGGGCAGTCCGCAGCGGTCCGCAGGCTATTTATCCTGCCTGGAATCTCCGACATATAAAGCTGAATGTCGGTCCCTTATTCAGCAGGGCCTCGTAAAAAAATTTCTCCAAACTCATATGCGATTTATAACTTTACCTTTAATCACCTGTCAATGTTCCTATATTATATTTTCCATATGTTATAAATCATTTATAATTAAATACAACAGAGTCGCGTGTTTTACGAAAGCAATGTGATACCTAGTTACCTTAACAAATATTTTCCGACTCCTAGTCACGCTCCCCATGCCTAGGCCAAATTTTAAAACAGTTGAGCACAATGCCCATTGTAACAAAATTCTCCGTTTTGAGCAGTGAAGTTGTTTTATGTCTACTAACCTTCGACTTCCTGCTCAAAAATATGCAACTCGCTCCCATACGGCATAAAGCAAGACGGTCCTTTATATTACAGTGTACCAAGATCGAAATGAAATAGAGCCAGCCGTTATCAGACATCTTCAAATAATAAGGCGACACATTTCCATCACACTAATTAAAATTTAATTAGAAACAAGTTTTACATTAGTTCTATATGTTAATATGTTTTATCAACAAATACTGATACGATAATGTCTACTTTTTTGCAAATACAAAATACTGTTGTTTAGACATTTCATGTACCTTCTTTAGTAGCATCCGTTACCGATCAGTTATTGATGGAAATTAATGATGCAGAAAAGCACTTAGAATTGGGGCCATCGGAAACAATGACAAGGCAGCGGGATTTCACATGGAATAGAGCACATTCTCTGCTCAAGCGGGAAGGGTGGGAAACGTAACTTATATTGATAGTCATTAAAAACATAGTTACTTCGTTTCACACGTGTAGGGCGGACTATAACGTCATCTTCCGATGTGCCTAGTGGGGCCCCTTGCTGTGTGTGGTTTTGTTGTATCAGGCACTTATAAATTTCTCGGGGTCTGATGCCACCTCCAGGCTGTCGGCACTCTATCTCTAATTCCAGTCTTAAATCAGGACTGCAATCCTGTGCTGTGTAAATCGAAGCTTCATTTCCATCTTCATTTTCGTCATATGATGGATCCTTAAGTAAGTGTATGGGTGCCAATTCCTTCCTGCATTTCATATCTACCTTGAATGTTAGGTCAAAGTCTTCATCATAAGATCTAAGACTCTGTGACGATGGTATATCAATATGATTATTCCATTCATGGACATTATTCATTGTCCTGTTTGTTCCCTGGTCATCTTCATCATTTTCCTTGCCACTCATGCACCTGTAACTACGTTTGCTGTAATGGCCAAAGTGGTACACCACGCTATCATAGGTACCAATTAGAAACCGTTCGCTGCCCGTAATAATATATGAGGTCTTTTCTTCTTCAACCTGTGTCTCCATGAGGTAGTACTGATTACTCGTCTGTGCTAAAACGTACAAGGCTGCGTTAAGATGCGCCTGCGCGTCGATAGTTAATGGTTCTAAACTGGATTTCCGGAGAGAGCAGCCCAAGAAATACGATCTGCGTAGTTTGTATTCGCCTTTTATGTAACACCAGCCCTCTGAGTCAATATTGACACTAATGTCCTTCTTGCAATCCAGAAAGCATTCCAGGAGGTCAATGACTTTGCTGCCAAAGAGTTCTGGTCTTGCTGACTGATTTGGTGCGCAAATATATTGTATTGATGGTAACTCATTATTTAGGATGAAAGGTATCCACTTGCGTAAGAGAACTCTTACCTCAAAATCATTCGCGTGCTCTAATCCTCTCTCTCTCGTTCTCACGAGTCCTAGAATGCGATGGACCGCATCGATGATTTTCCCTCCGAAGCAGGCGTTTGAATAACTTGCAGCCCTCAGGAGGCGGAGTTGGTTGCAGATGCTGTTCAGCAGTCTTCGACATCGAATTAATATCGACTGGTCCACTGGTGAGGGAGATTTAGGGTCAGTCGAATTATATTCTGCTCTCCAGGTTGAGCCCGACCCACTCTGCATAGTATTCCCAAGAAGTGCATTTTCTTCTTTCACGAGAGCGGCCAGCTGACTTTCAACACAAATCTGAAGCTTGCTGAACTGCCTATGGAGTATACTGTTCCCAATGTCTCTGAACCGTACACACACTTGACGCACTTTTGAGATCTCGTCGTAGCTGAGCTTCAGCAGTATACACTCCAGGAGTTCATTGGGAAGGCGTGTTATTGGCCCGTTGTTCTCTGATCCATTATAAGCAGATCTGAAAGTAATGCCTGCACCTGCAGAGATAACTTCATCTTCACTCGACTTACCGAGACGTAACCTTTTGGTTGGCTGTGCGCCACATAACGTGTAGTAGAAAGCAGAACACCTCTTCATTACTGCTTCGTGTTCTCCGGCAACTTCGGAATCACACTGCCACTCCTCAACACCGCTCAACACAGACTGTCCCACACACACCGCCCACCGGCCTTTTATCTGTTGCCTGTTGCGTCACAGTGGCACATACTTCCACGTCACCGCGGTGGGGGTGTTTACTGAGTGTTGCGTAATGATGGAAGGAGGGGAGGTATGTCACTTCACTCGCGACATCGCAGAGTTCGCGTGAACCCTCCTTCCTATTGCGCCATCCACGTCACAATATTGTCAAAAGTAAATTACCATAATACAGTGAGTCCGCGCCATAGCTCAAGCGGTTAGTCGCTGGCTTTCCACCGCGGTGGTCCGGGTTCGATCCCGGGTCTGGGCAAATGGGATTTGTGGTGGACATAGTGGCGCTGGAGCAGGTTTTCTCCGAGTATTTCGGTTTCCCCTGCCAATCTTCATTCCACCAATTGCTCCACAATCACCCTAACCTATTATCTGGGGCTGGTACAATAGGCAAGAAGTGGCAGCAGTACAAGGGACTTAGTCCCAATAAAAAAATCATAATACGGTAGAAATAAACTCGCGTTCCCAAAGTACTAATAGAATGCCTTCAAGTTCGTAAATCTTTCAAATGCGTGTCTAATCTTGTACATTTTAATACTAATTATCATGGAATTGGTGTTATGTAATTTACGTAAAATACCACGTAGATCAGCCGTGTCAAACATGCTGCTCCATAGCCACAAAGTGTGGCCCCTCACGCGACAAACTTTGTGACGATAATTGGGTTCAGGATTTGGCCTTTATGGTGGACATTACCTGACAGTCAAGACCGTCAAGAGAAGATGGCGTCTGTGGAGAAAGTTTCTAGTTTTAGCTCTCGCTGTTTTGGAACAAATTACGATGACGGAAGTGAAAACAGGTGCCAAACTTGCTTTAAAGTGAT